AAAAATACCCCTAAGCAAAAGGTCTGCTGCAGTCTAATTTCCCTCCTTTGGACTTCTCCTCAGTCAGTTCACAAGAAGACAGAGTAGGGAATCTTGTAACATCCTTTCTTCCTGGGATTCAAAAAGTTTTACAATCTGTGGGTCTTCTAATGTTAAAAATGCTTTGTTACTCAATCATATATCCAGAATGAGGTGACATCAGCAATTTTTCAGCATAATGTCTAATTGGGAGTATTGGGAATATTGTCTATAGCGAAGTGGAACAGAGGTATTTTCCTTCAAACCTTGTAACTTTCCAAGCTTTGCAGTAATTCCTTTTTGTGAAACCTACTCAATCAAATGTCCCTTAACGAGCTCCGAGTGTCAGTGTGATATGACCCTAGTGTGCTTGTCAGCTGTCCCCAGGTACAGGCTGATTTGAATTCAGACTGGTCTTCCTACAGCCTGGGCTTCTTAATTGTGTTCTACATGCATCTGTCAATAGTTCACATTACATCTTCCATGCAGTTTAGCTAATTCTTTCCTACCCTTTAAAGAAGAAAATGTTTAAAGGTGCTATGTATGTAACTGTCTCAATGAATAATGACGCAGACTGATATATAAAGCTGTGCCAAGTTTCAGCCTAAATCAAAGTGATACTTAGGTCTTGTTTAGGTCTATATGCACCTAGAGTTTGCCTTACTCTGGTCATGATGATGCAGAAAATCTTGCAACTGTTATTCATTACATTCCATGGCTTCATGGGCACCTGAATCTCTGTTTTTCAGAATCTGAATTTCTGCTCCCATTCCTACTGAAAAACATACAGTATTAACAGTGGAGACTAATGAAAGTCATGTCTATATGTAACAGCATTCCTGAACCAAAACCAAAACAACCCAAACCAAAACAACAAAAAAGTGGGGGAAATACTTGGTTCAGTAGAAACCAGTCAATGCACCAAACAAATATTAGCATTTTTTTTCACTTATATCTCATAGCTCAATGATGAGCATCACTATGTCCTCTTTGCCTCTACATGCATTTTTACTTTCCCAGGTTTCCACAGATTGGGCGCCATCCTTCCTCTTCCTAGCTTTACACCACCATCCTATATTCAGTTCACACCAGTTGATTACTGAGTGTTTTCTGATAACAATATACTCCCAGGATTCATCACATACATCAGAGTCAAAGTTAAGATTCCCTCCTTTGACACTGCTGTGCTGCTGAGTATGTGCTGAGATACAAAGACCCTTTTCTTTTGCTTAGTTTAATTTTGTAGGACTGAACTCCTAGAATTCCTCACAAATATTTTCAGATAATTTCAAGCATTGTTCTGCATTTTCTTGTTGAAAGAATTTTACTCAATTGCCCAAATGTTTTCCTGAATCAGTATAAAAGTCTCTCTTCTCATTACCTAGTAATTTAATGTGATTTATGGTCTTTCGCTATTCCTTTTTTAAAAATATCATCATGGCAACCCAGAAATCATCTCATAAAGAATTTGTGCACAACCTACTCTGATTATTTGAACAACACAACTTGTCATTTAAAAGTGGGAGTTAGTAGTAGAATCTGTCAAGTAATAAATCTCATGACTTTTTTTCCTAAAATAAAATTTTCAAGTTATTGCTTTACCTTGATTCTTTAATCCTTATTTAAGACTTTCATGTAAATGCAACATTACCTGAAACTGAGGCACAGGGTCACATGCAGACAGCTGCAGTAACATAAAGCACTCCCTACTCTCCTGTTTAGATTTTTCTTTTCTACAAGATTATTACATTATCTAGGCAGTTAGAGCATTCATCTTATGATCTTTTAGCTGACTTGTATTGCTCAGGAATCTTGTATGAGGAGGGAAAACTAACCTTCTGTTATAAGTCTCTCCATTACCATTGAGTTCAGATCCGATGCTGGGGCAATTCATTCAAGACGTAGGTTCTGCAGGTGGGAAGAGAGTGCCAATTGCTTATCTGAAGAATAATAATGCCAAGAGCATTTTCAAATTGTGCCTGAGATGTGATGTGAAGAAAATGGGGAGAAATTGTGTGTGTGTGTCCAGGTTTCTTCAAAGAAACAAAGAAAGTATTTAATTTTTCATTACTGTTATCATTTATAACATGAAGAAGGGCAGAGAAAGGACATTTTAAAAAAAGAGTCAAAATTTCCATCCAGTTAGACAGGCCCCCACTTGTATGTGGTCTGGGTCAGACCCAATATGTAAGCTAGATCAGGGAATTAACCCAGGGAATTAACCTTTACTCTGTGGGATGAAGAGCTATATAGACTTTGCGCTGGCCTTCTGCATAATTTGAATTTCATAGCCTAGTGATCAAGCTGCTATACTTCAGATTTTAACAAAACTTCTAACCAGCCCTAAGCCTAATTTTGAGAACTTCCCTTCCTCCATCTCCTAAAGATGAAGCATAACTGTCTCTAATTTTCCAAAAATTACAATTATTGCTCAAAGTAAATATGCATGTATGTATGTACACACACAAAAAAAACCCTGAACTTTGTTTACCATAATCTGGCATATGTTTGCAAAGGTTGCAGTTGTCTCAAGCAAACTGACACGCAGCTCCCCTGACTTTAAGAGGGAGAACTGTCTCCTTTAAGAGAGAACTGTGTAAATCTCCATACAGTTGCCTGGAGCTATGCCTGCTATGCGATATTTGTGCACATGACAGCTCTAGCCTGCTGTCCAGAATGAACGTGCTGCATCTACAACGAATAGAGAGAGTAGCAAGCAGTTCTCTCTCTGGCTGGTGGACAGATGTGTGGAAAAGTGAGGTCCACCTGAATGGATTCTCTCGCTTCCTCTTCAGACTATAGTTGGGGGTTGAGCAAAAAATAGCAGCAAAGGAAGTAAGGTTTGAAGGCGTGAAGGCAGGTGGTAAGAGCTGAAAATGGAAGCGGCAAGGGGCAGAAAACCATAAGCACACAATTAAACAAGCATAGATGTCCATGGTCTCATGATCTTGCTACATAGCCAAAAAGCAGAACTAAAATTCAGCTGGTTCTTTCTCTTATATATCCAAACTGAGCTTTTATTATTTCATTTTGCTTTGTATATTAATACCTGTGAAAGCAATTCTGACTTCACAGTAATGACTGGCTTTGTCCTTGGTCCACATAGCATTAGCTGAGATGATATGTCCCGTCTCACATCTCGGGCAAGTAGCCTAGCTGTGGAACTACAGATGACCCAAAATATTTAATTGTTCATGTAAAATGGAAATGCTCTGTCATAAAAAAAAATGAAGTAATTAAGAAAGACTTTGCTTTAGTGTCACACAGCCTACTACAGTTTATTAACCGCTTAGCTATTGTGGGCTGCAGGTTGTTGGCGTACATACAATTCCACAGAACATTCACACATTGATAAAATAGCACATTTTAGAAGGAATAAGGCTTTGTCTAAAATGTACTCCCCAGCCTCAGTGAAGGGGATCTTCTCAAGAAGACTAGGCTAAATGATGAAAAAAAGGAAAGGCTAAGAAGAAAAGGAGAACAGCACTGACTACTGAGCACCGAGCAGTCAATGTCATTAGTGCAAAAGATATGTTCAACAGTGCTGAAGTAGAAAAGGATTGGAGTACTAACTCTAAATTTTGGCTAAAAAATGGCTATTAGAGATTATTATCGTTTTCAGTCATGCAGCGCATCTGGAGTGGGTTAGAGCAGAAAGAAATCCTGATGGTGACTGTTAACTTCTGTTCAACAAGTCTTCCCTTCTGCACCTTGTGTACTGGGTAAGCAGATTCCTTTCCTTGTACTGCGCCACAGAGCCAGGTGCTTATACCTCCTGCAGGGAAGATGAGAAGTGCAAATGCCAGTCCATGTAGTGGAGAAGAGCTGACTATAGGTCCCCCAGTCAGAACTTTTTAAGATGGCATCTGATTTCATGTGACGATGACATTTATGTGGAGGCATGCTGGCTCCAGGGCACTTTTTAGATAATCTCACTTCTAAGCTCTCAAGCTCCTGCAGTAACCTTACAACTGTGAATTGCAAGCAATGCAATCAATAGACTGCTCATGTTTTTCATTTACTATTGTTACCTATCTTTTTGCTTTTGCTGTAACATTCTTTAAAGTCTACTTGTTTTTACTTTTACAAAATCTTGTTTGCAGCATCTTTTCTTTTTATTACTTCTTTTTTAACCAAGTTTGTTATTTTCTGTAAATTACACCTGAAAAAACCTGTTTTTTTTCATAGTACCTCGACACATTTAGATTATATAAACTACTAATACGGCATGTGTAAAATATTACTATTTACTTCTTTTATCAGTGATCTTTAATACTTAGATGAACCTCACAGGTATGTGTCATCATTACAAATCAAAGGAGAACTAAAATTTCAATCCTCCCCCAAAGTTATCAGTTTTGTAGGTTTAGAGCGGTGACTTTACTGGCTCTGTACCTGGGATGAAGAATCGAAGTGGAGAAAATTACCTAAATTTACCCTCCCCCTTAGTTAGGGGTAAGCTTCTTAGGGCCCTCCCCAAGCCAAATAAGGCAGGGAAGAATGTGCTAAGCACTGGGTGTGCTAAGAATAAAGTTGAGCTGAGATGGATAAGGTTACTTTGAACTCTATGTTTCATGTTTCCTGACACACAGCCCAAAGAACTGTAACTATGCTAGAGAGGCTGCAGGAGCTCTGAACAGTTCTTTCCCAGTTCTCTTGCTTTTTGCTGCGTTTCCATGTGTTCATGTCCTGTTTGGAGCTGGGATTTTTTATTTTTTATTTATTGTGGGTAAAGTTCTTAGGATGTTAGAAAAAAAGTGCTGAAGATTCACTGTGAGGCATGGCTATTTTTGTTAGAAGCTGATATTTTAGACTGAACTTTATGCATTGTCTTTGGAAGGCCTTCAGTTGCGCTGGGTGGGCAGGAGTATCCAGGGGAAGCTCAAAGTCCAGAGGGTCACAAAAGAAGGAGGAACAGAATTAGAAAAAGCAAAGGACCTCCTTCCTTTTCATTCTGCGACTTCTGCGGGAGCCAACAACCCAGAAGTATTATCTGAGCTGCCACAGGATACCTTGACCTTTTCGACAGAGTATCTTTTACCATCATCATTATGGCAGAGATTACAGCAGAAGGTATGGTAACTATCTTCAAATACAATTAACGAAAAATGTTATATACTTTGACAATGCAAATGAGCTGGTGTGTCGATGTGATTTATTGCTGTGAGAAAATAACACTTGACTTTGGGATCATTCTATTTTGTGAATTTGTTTCCTTTCCTTTCCTTTCCTTTCCTTTCCTTTCCTTTCCTTTCCTTTCCTTTCCTTTCCTTTCCTTTCCTTTCCTTTCCTTTCCTTTCCTTTTCTTTCCTTTCCTTTCCTTTTTCCTTTCCTTTCCTTTCCTTTCCTTTCCTTTCCTTTCCTTTCCTTTCCTTTCCTTTCCTTTCCTTTCCTTTCCTTTCCTTTCCTTTCCTTTCCTTTCCTTTCCTTTCCTTTTTTCCTTTCCTTTTTGTTTTTAAATTTTCACTCCTGTAACTAGCTTTTCTACTAGTAATTGAATCTATATCTTTGTACACCTCTAAATATAGTGTTAGTCTTATGAGACTAATACTGAACAGAATAGCACTGCTTAGGCACTTCCATGAGCATGGCACCACCACACTCTTCACAAGAAGAGGAAAACATAGTTGCATCCTCAGGTCTTTGCTCGGGTCAGTCTCTGAGAGTCCATTATAACAAGACTTTTGCCTGAATCAGAATATGCGAACTAAACTGTGTGGCCCTGATTTTTCCATGAGACCAGAGAGTGTTTGTGAGCTGTAAATGAAGTTACTGAAGGGTAAAAGCTATTGGACTGCAATTCTTATTCAGATAAACTTCCAGGGTAGTCAGTGAAAGTTTTGCAGAAATAAGTACTCTGGAGATGCACAAGAATGAAAGGCAATTTTATTAGCCAATAAATATATGTTCTAAAATATGAATATTTCATGTATTTTAATATTTCCTGACCATTCATATTTAAATAACATTTCAGATGTGTGACAATATTTTATCAACGGCAGTCAGACAGGGGAGATGTCTGATGCAACCTTCTTCAAATTTAATACTGAATTTTTAGTGGAATTTCATGCTAACCTTTTTTAATAGAGTGGGTCACTCCACTCTTTATCCAAATGTAATAAGGGCACTACAAAAAAGGCTTTTAAAAGGCTCTGAAAGTTATTTTTATTTCATTTGTCAAGGTTTTTCAGTGTATGAAAGTTGTATTTTTTATCTTCTGTTTTTTTCATTGGTAACATTTGCAAGATGATCTGCATTAAGCAATATAGAGACTGAAAATTGTCTCCCCAAAGATTCAAATTAGGACTATCTCAAACTGTGTACAGTTCTTGCCTGATGTCCAGCTAGCCACAGCAAAGAGCTGATGTGGCCATGGGTATGTTTTTTTTTGGTCATGGTCAGCAGTTGGATGGATCTATAACTCACTTCTGGCAGCAAATACTGCCAAAACAGGTGGCTCAGCCTGATGGCCCTAGTTCAAATGGTAGCAACTAGTTTATTTGGATATTCTTAACCTGGTTTGCTGGAAACACTGTTTATTTTGAAATTATTATTAGGAAAAACTGTGAAATTTTGTCTTCCAAAACATGTGCATTAACACTATCAGTGTCAGGTAAGCTGTGTGGAGGTACCTCTTGAGAGGTTCTCCATCCTTAGGGAACCCTGATTAAAAATGAAAATTAGCAAGGTTCTTAGTCTAAAATTAGCATCAAACATAGAACACTTTTCGCAAGTAAATTGCTTAACTGCACTAACTATGTCTAAAGAGCTGTTCTGTGCTTACCAATAAAGGGAAAATACCTCCCCTCTGCCCTAAAAGTTTATATATAGAGAGGGAGAGGAATAAAACAGAAAGTTTGATAATATCCGGTAGGCATTCCTTAGCTGTGATAGCGTGTGTCTTTCATCTTTCTTTTGTCTGTGCAAGGCAATGGAGACTTCAGGTAGGAACAGATATCACTGCCACGGTAATGCGACCTTTGGCAGGATAAGTAAGCATAGCCATAGAATACAATTTTCTGCCTCTCATATTTGGAACAGAGTTACGCTGATTGGCTGATTTTTAAACTCTGGATCCATGAGATGGAAATTTTACCCATGCGGAAAACTAAAAATTCAGCCTGGGGCTAATGTTTTGCTGCAGATTTTTTTTCCTCTGGGGCTTCTGCTGCCACTCAAAAGGCAGTCTGAAAATTCAAATCTAAACTTTGACAAACACACAGCTGACAAAAATAGAAAAAAAAACTCGTTTCATGCAAGTTTTTTTATTATTATTCTTTTTCTCTTTCTCTTTTCCTTTTTTATTCTTCCTTTTCCTTTTTTCCTTTTCCTTTCCTTTTTTCTTATTACTTCTTCCCAATCTGCATTTTTGCTGGGGTCTTCATGGCTTTCTTATGATTAAACTGCTTGCACCTCGTGATAAGCATTCTTATCGCTGCGTCATGCAGTAAGCCCCACATCAGACAGACTGTTTGCCCCTTGAGCTACCATGCCTGCATGTCAGACAGCCGTGCACAGCAACGAGTGTGCCAGGAACCACGTGGACCTTAGCGCTGCCATCCTGAGCCTGACTGGGGGTTTAGCGAGCAATGGTCCAGCTCTGGCAGGCTGCATCATTTGATGCAGATTCGAAGGTGCCTTTTTGGTAGCCTGTGCCAATATCACGATCCATTCATCACGTCCAAGTGACAAATATTTGACAGGGGATTCCAAAGGATTTTCTGCAGCATCCTCTTGTTACATTTCATTTCAAAAACAGCAGTGTCCTACTAAAACACTTCTTGGGAAATTGCTGAAAATTAAGAACAAATGGAAGCTCAGCAGAGGCATTAGGTACTCCCTCTTTGCAACATTCTTATTATATTTCACCTGTTCCTGAGTGTTCTGTAATGGCCAGCAACTTTACTGCGATCCACTTACGTGCACGCCTGGAAAACCACAGGCATCCAGATCTGTTGCTCTGCTGTGCTTATGAGCATGGGCATTGGACTGGACTCAATGGCACATGCACTTAAAACTGTCACCGCAGAAATACAAATACAAAGAGCCTGGTATCCCTGAGAAATGGCTTCTACCAATGTACAGCTTAATCGGTATGTGCACAAAAGCTCTATCAGGAGCCCTACAGTTGGTCCTTTCTAGTCCAATCTACTGCAGGTCGCAGTGCAGGGTTGATGGCTGTCCCCTGGCACTTCATCCTCCCACACATGGCACATAGTGAAGACAGCCCCGGCTCTGCCTGCTGCAATGCTCTGGAGGATGCAGACTGATCTCATCCGGGGAGGTGAGGAAAGGAGAACGACGAGGTTTCTATGCCAGCTGTTTGTCTGACACAACTTATTTCCCCAGCGGAGCAAGAGAGAAGCAGGAGTCAAACAGGAATGTGACAATGAGTCACAATTTGGTCCTTATTTTGCTGCTGAGAGATATGCAGCTACACATTGCCTCTTTCTCGGAGCAGATTGTAAGGAGACAGGCGAGCCCAGAGGCTATACACAGCTTGTCAGTGACAAAATCAAAATTAGCTTCAGGATTTTGGGCCTTTTCTCAGGCTATTTGATAAGTATGAAAAGTTTTAAGATGTAAAACATTTCAAAAGGCAGATTTAAGATGATCTGTATGATTGAAGTTTAATATACATGAAAATGTTAATGCATGAGAAATAACACACAAAAGCCAGAGGGTAAAATCATCAAGACTTTATGAGTACAATGGCCAGAAGCTAACAACCTTGTTCAGTAGGCAAAAGTTTAGCAAAGTTGATAGGCAGGAAGGAGTTGGTATTTCTCATGGGAATTCCTGAATTGCTAGTAGAAGTGCTAGTTCTCCAACTATAAAAGGGGCATGGGTGAATAAATTAGATTGGATGATTCATTTTGGTGGTTAAAGTCAGGTGAAGTGTTCCCTAGTCTTCAATTATAGTGTTGTTTAAGTCTTGGGTTAGGAGGCTGCTGTATAATTTATTCAAAACAAATAATCTCATAATATGATTTTCCCCTTTTTCTGGCTTTGTATGTTTATAGGGAGGAAAATCGTGTACCTTGATCCTGCAAATGTTCAAGGAAGATATGCCATTGGCATATGCCATTTTTGGCAACAATTTTTCGAAAGCGTCAGGCTGCATGTGGTCAAAAGGACCTGGTCAGCTCAGTGACCTAATTATCCACAGAAAAAAATCAGAAAACCCAGGACTGTCGCTAATAAGATAAGTCTCTGAGGGGAACAGAAGTGACAAATTCTCACTTAAATTTCATGAAACTTGGATTCCCCTGTGCCTGTGGACAGGACACCTGGGCCGGTTATTTTGGCTTAACAGGTTCCCTCAAGGCTGGCCTGCATGCGCAGAGGCAAGCAAGTGCGAGATGTAATTTGTTAGCTTAGATCAGAAGCTTAAAAATCTGTTGACATTATTTTTCACAGCTAGTACAATAGCTACGCACGCTCAGTTGGAACAGAGAAACTCTCATGTAGCATTAACTTATGCAGTACATTTGAAAGAAAACTAGCTATAGGCAGCAGGGAGACTTAAAAGCTGTAAGGCAGGGGTTTAAGTTAGTGCATCATGACAAGAGCCCATGATCAGCTAGAAGTGTGCATGAGTACAGTTAATCGGTGTTGGATTTATTTATTCCCTTTATTTTGAAAGAACCTTGGCTTATAAGTATTTGAAACAGGTTTTTTAGGGGTTACTTATAGGGTTATATAATAAGAAATGCACTTAAAGGACTATAAGTATTTTCAAAGTATCGACAAGATTAGTTCCCACTGATTTCAAAATGAAATCTGAGCAACCAGCTAGATTCTTACAAGTGCCTACAGGTACCTTCAGTTACCAATTTAAAAAAAAAATAAGTTGAGAAATTTTTTGAGGGTTTTTCTTCCCATGATGTCCAATGAAAACACTAAATGGCTGTGCTGCCCTTATGGCAGAAATGACCTTTCAAAATCTGAGTTTCACTCTGTAAAACAGAAACTGTTTTAGTTTAAAGCATATTTCATAATGCAGGTCTGTCTTCTGTCCAGGGTGCACTGAGGACAGAGACACCACAGTAACCCTCTCTGAAGCAGGTCAG